ACATAAGAATTTATGAGGCACCACTAGAGTTTCAGAGAGGGTTGTTATCTGGTCAGGGAAAACCAGGCATGGGTGAGTTCAAGGCACGGGCAGGCATTCCAAGCAAGTTTAGAAAACGCAGTAATTTATAATAAAACCAAAATTAACTTTTCATACCTTTGTGGCGAGATGGTTCCCAATTTTAAGAGGGAATTAGGCTGGGTTGATCACTTTCTCAAAGAGTTTCTTTGTTTCTTGTCAAAGTGCACTATTTCTTATACCTTTGTAATCTCTTTCACTGAAAGGCAAGTTCCGAACATCAGTCCACTAACCACCAATATTAACTATGCTCATCATAAGTCCCTATGTGAGGTAAAAGAAGATTTATAGAAAAGGGGGGAATGTATCTTTATTTGCCTAAACTTTCCTAAGTGTATAACATGACTTTCCCTTAATCAAATAAAACTACATATGGTGGGTTTGTGCAATAAGCATAATAATTAGGCTTTATAAGGGGCCAGAGATACGGGCTTGGGTTCTTAGTTGATATAATTATCAAGGAGGTGCCTAAAGTTCTCATGGCCTTTTGGAGAATGACTGTTGTTTATTATCAGTTTTGTCCTCAATGTGCTGACATAGTAGAAAAAAACCTATTTTGTCCTCGATATGCTGAGAAGTAGTAGAACAGCTTTCAAGGCATGAACTTCCTGTTATGTTCTAGCTATCGGAAATTTAATTTGGCTTGGCATTAAGCATACTCATGCTTCCTGTYAGGAATATGAGCATGAAAATGAAAAGTCAAATTTACATAAAAAGGGTCTCATGGTTTCGGTTTCCCACCAGTGARGCTTTGCCAGCACTTATCATCACTGTGACATTGTCAAGACAGTGGGAGGGGGAGTGCCTTCACCAAATGGATAAGGGAACAAATTCAGGCGAGCATCCATCCCACCAACAAAGGGAAAAGACAACAAATACAAGTTGCAAGAGATTACTCAAGAAAGAGAGATACTGAAAAAAAAATCCTYGAAATAAAACAGTAAGCCAATTAAAAAACTCAATAGATASCATCACCAACAGACTAAACCACTTGGAAGACAGAATCTCAGACAATGAAGACAAAATATAGATTCTTGAATAAGTTGACCTCACACTGAAGATGGTAAGAAACCACAAACAGAACATCTAAGAATTATGAGATACCATCAAAAGACCAAATTTAAGATTCATTGGGGTAGAGGAAGGTTCAGAGATTAAAACCAAAGGAATGCAAATCTCTTCAATGAAATATCAGAAAATTTCCCAAGCATGAAGAATGAATTGCAAACTCAAATACTAGAGGCCTATAGGACACCAACTTTACAAAATTACAATAGATCTACGCAAAAGACACATTACAATGGAAATGCCTAGTATTTAGAATAAGGATAAAATTTATAGGCTA